TTTAGGAATAACCTGATTGGAAACTGAATGTTAATAAATTGATATCAATAAGAATAACCCTATTGATATCTTTATAACATCACGATTGGAATTTTATTGTATCCTATCTATGCTATTATTCGTCATCAATCGTGATCACCTGATTCTAAAAAAAACAGAAAAATAGGGAACCAATCAGGTCAAATCTGATAACCCAGATTTGACCTGATTAGTCCCCTATTTATCATCATTCGACTAGTGTTATGTAATTTAAATAAAGTCAATTTGCATTTGCCTTTAAAAGTAAGAATATTGATCAATTTTTTTCACATGTCATTCATTATAAAACTAAAAATAAAAATTTTCAAGAAAAAGGTAAAAGTCAAAATAATACGTTACCAAAAAGAACATCATTAACTCTCATCCAAAAACATGAAATATGTTTTAGAAAAATCATAGAACCTTTTATAAAAAATAAAGAACTAGCTATAATATATAATGTTAATGAAGGATATATTAGTAATACATTAAAAAAAATTATAAAAATAGCTTGAAATTGATTCTCAAGCACTTGAAGCTTAAGATAAAAGACAAATCAAAGTAAATTTTTTAGAAATTGAAGAAGCTTTTACATTATAGATATTAAAGGCTTTAGAAAATAGTATTAATATTATTGATCAAGTTTTACATGAAAAAGCTAAGGCATTTGCTTTTCTATATAAAATTGAAAATTTTAAAAAAAGTAATGGTTGGATTGATAGGTTTAAAAAATGACATAATCTTTCTTGTTATTTAAAACAAGAAGAAATTGTAAGTGCACTTCTTAATTAATTTGATAAATTTAAAAAAAACTTTGATTTGATTTATGATTATAGTCTTGAAGATATTTTCAATTGTAATGAAACTGATTTGTATTGAAAAATGGAATTCAAGAAGATGATATCTAATAAATCTATATCTAAATAAAACAATCAAAAGGACATGTAATAATTCTTCTTTATTCTAATACAACTAATACAAAAAACTCAAATCAGTATTTATTCATAAATATAAAAATTTTCATTCTTTAAAAAATTATCTAAAACATTTTTCCTGATAAAATATTACTGGAATTTAACAGCTTAAATGCAGATTTCTATTTGAAATATTTGGATTCATCAGTTTAATGCAGCAATGAGATTAAAAGGAAGAAAATTCTTTTTCTTGTGATAATATGGGTAGTATTCTATTAAAATTGAGGTACAGATCATATGATTTACTATGTCTCATAACCCACTTTTAATAGATCAGCTCCCATATTGAGAGAGAGAGAGAGAGATTTCCAAAGGTTCAAATAATTCATTAGCATAAGTAATCAATCTGTCAAGGGTAAAGTAATCTATCCGACAAAAAAGAATATCCTCAGTTTCCCCAGTAGTTAAGTTAATTCTTTTAGCAATTTCTTTATCAGTTAATTTATGCTTTTGCTGATATCATATTATATATGAAAATGTGAAATTAACATTAAATTTTTACCTTCTAATACTATTATGTATCTTTAACCATATGATAAAAGTATTATAAATAGCTTTAAGGTACCAAAATTCAAACTAATTTTAATATTTAATTTTAATTTACAATATTTGCATTTTGTAGGTGTAATATCAAAAATTATTTCTTCAAAATTGTATTAAAGCTTTTGACTATTTATAAGAAACTGGTCATAACAAATCTCCAATTATTATTAAAAAAGCTATCAAATATGTAACTTTAGCCTGGAATAAAGTACTTTCTCAAACTGCTGAAATGAAACAGAAATTTTATCAAATGATATAAATCCTTATAATGAAATAGAAGAAAACAAATATAAAGAAATAAATGAGAATGAATTTAAAGAAATTCAAGAACTAATCAATAAACTTAAGTATATATGCTCTTTTACTTATTTTAGTAACTACTTCTGAAGCTCTAGATGCATTTGATAAAATTTTTGAATATTTGAAACAAGATGATAATCAAGGTATTGTTAATAAAAACACATTAAAAGCAATGAAAAATGTTAGAAAATCTGTTTATAGAATCATTTTTTTTTCCAAAAGGCAAATGAACTTAGACTTATTTGTTGGAAGTGAAGAAAGTAATAAGTCAAATGATACTTATAGTAATCTGGTTGAAACAGAGAGGGTGTTAATAATAATATAATAGATATGGAAAATATTAATTTTGGAGTTTCGTATTTTAATGAGTTTGGTTTTTAGAATCATGAAGAAGATAAATATCAACTTGATCAGAATATCCTCGGTCATTGGTAATAGCATTACTTAATAAGTAAGATATTTGAATAACGCAATATATAAAAGTAATCGCTTAGCAGTTCATATGTTAATAATTAGCATACATGTCACGTGAGTATATTAGTATAGCGAAAATCTTATCTTTATTCGCTAACGAATTCCCTTACTATAGCGAAGCGTGACACACAAGATTCGTTATAAAAAGGGTGAACTTTATCATTCTATTTTTGGGATCTAGCATATTAATCCACATTTTTAGACAAAAGACAAAAAAAATGCTAAAAAACGTTAATATTACTATAATTAAAATTGTTGGGTAAAAATATCAAGTTGAATGGGTAACAAACGCGTTATATTATTATTTTTTTTTTTCTTTTACTTGTTTATGAAACGGAAAAAAATTACAAGGCAATAATTAATACACGGGTGTAGGGTTAAAGGGATAAAAAAAAAAGAAAAAAAAATTGAGAATATTTAAATATATATATATATATATATATATATGTATGTATGATATACAAGTCTAATAATAATAATAAAAAATAATAATTGAATTAAATAAATTGTCCAATGATGATCGTGAAATGCATGGCAATAAAGAAATGCCAAATAAAATGATGTCCCAATTAATATACATATACATATATATCTATATGGAACGGAATGCGTGATGACCAAAAAAATAAAATAAAATAAAAAATAACAAATAACAAATAAATTTGCATTATTGGTCAATAATTGTTCAAATCTATAATAAATCTTGGATTAAAATATAAACTATGATATTAATTGTAACACGTGAAAGTATATAACAAATTCGGGGATCCAGAAGTAAATAATAACACGGAAAGCCTTTATTTCATCACAAGCAAACACATCTGCTCCTTCTAACCTTGTTTTCTTTCTCTTTGTTAGCATCCTTGCGACTTTTTATTTTTCTCATTAAATCAGTATATACTTCATTGACATTCAGTCGTGTTTTTGCCGAAGTTTCATAATAACTACAATTCCATTCACGTGCCCTATTCTTAGCTTCCTCTTCGGAAACTTTACGAATTTGGGCTAAATCGGCTTTATTACCGACAAGAATAAAAGGTATCTAAATATTGTAATATATAAAATTAGCCATTATATTCCTTTTGCCCCTCCCCAAAATTTACACAAAATATAAATAAAAATTTATGTAATTATAATTAAAATAGGTCGAATTTCATACATTATTATTACTTACGCTATCATCATCAAGTACTCGTGAAATTTGATCTCTGAAATCTTGAGTATGTGCAAATGATTCATACTCGCAAATAGAGAAAACACACAGGAATCCTTCACCAGACCGATAATAATTATCCCGAATCTTCAATTAAAAAGTAATCATAATAATTGTCAAGAAATATATATAATAAATAAAATTTCTACGACATAAAAATGAATGACATAATCAAACAAATATTTAAAATTATTAAAAAAGGATACGGCAGCATATTCTTCTTGTCCGGCAGTGTCTAAAATGTCAATCTGACATTCTTGTCCATCTAAAGATATTTTCTTACGATAAGAGTCTGCTTTTGTTGGGTCATATTCCTCAACAAAGTCACCATACATATATTGTAAAGTCAAAGCTGATTTACCGACACCACCTGAACCAACCATAATGACTTTATGAAGCGGAAGATCTTGTTTCGCTTTTTTGACCATTATTGAATTTCCTTATTAAAATATAAGTTTTAATCTGACGAAAATTGGAAAAAAAACAAAAAAAAAGTGAGAGAAATTTATTGCGTGGTTAAAAAGTGTGAAAGTGATATATTGATATATTGGGAATGGTGAAAGGGAAAGGAAAAGTTTAATTATTTCGCAAGTACAAAGAAAGAACTGAGATAAAAGGAGTTACGGTCGGAATAAAAATGGTTAATAACGTCAAAAAATGGAAGAGAATTGAATGAGATGTTTTATGTGAGTAACAGTTAACGAGTTTGGTTAGGAACAGCAACAAAATAGATAATTTTTTTTTTTTTACAAAAAAAAAAAAAAAAGAGGGAGAAAGGTAAGTTGCAGAATAATGACATACAAAGTTTACTCATACAGATAATAGATGTATGCAAACGAAAATGCAACCCTTTGTGGTTTTGACACAAAAAGAATGTAAAAAATCACAAATTGGTCAAAGTCCGCTGCGTGGCCTGATTGGGGAATGTAGTTCAAACATTAATTTGGAAGAAATGTGGGGAACAACCTTTTAATCTAATTATTCATTTGAGTGGGGGTTCATCATATTGGTTTGGAACTTGGCGAAATGGCGAATTGGCGTACAAATCTCCTGCTGTTTGGTGCCAATTGAAAGCAAAATTTTTAAAGATCTGGTAAAAAACTTTAGGAGATATAAGATAAAAAAAGGTTTAGTACAATCAACGCATTTCATAGCTGTGTTCTCGAAGAACTGGCTTATGTTCTATCTCCCTGTACGCTAATATATTGTGTAATCCGTGGGTGAACAAACCATCTATGGTTAAGTTTAACTAATTTAAAAAAACCTATAATATATGTTTTATAAAAATAAATATTGGTAAATCACGAGTGATAATGCATAAGGTAATAAATATTATTGGTTACAAAAAATCTTTAAAGGTCGTTCGACTGCGGAACATAACATCTTTCGTAAAAACACAATCAAAAAATAACGACTTATATAAAGAGTTCTTATAGAGAATTAACAATCCTATTTGATTATGCTCAGATAACTATTTATAATACAATTTATAATAATAGTAATTTTATTAGATGTTTATAATTTGAGTCATATGCAGGGACAATGATCAGCTGCTTTAAGCAGAAATCTGCATTAATTTTGTTAAAGTATGACGTCAATATCAAATTGAAGTATCTTTGCCAATACAACTCCGATTTTATGAAATAAAAACCATTGGATTCGTCTTAATATAATGAATTCAATGAATTATTTATCATTCATTTTTAATCATTAGATTAATAGATAAAATATACAAAGTTTAAGTTACTATAATTTTATAACCATTATTTTAATAAATTTAATATTTTAATATTTAATTCATTAAAATAAGACGAATTTAATAAGCTAAAAATCATTGAATTATAATGTATTTTAAAGTAATGCTAAAAAGATTTTTATATGTAAAAAAAATCAATATAAATTTTTATTAACTTTTACTAATATATAAATATTATAATTTAATGATTATAATAAACTGTTATTTTGATATCAAAATAATCAGATTTTATTATTATTAAAAATTAGAGTTATAATATTATATCAGCCATAGTTTTAAATAATCTTAGATTTAAAGTTTCAAAATTGAATTTTTAAGATATCATAATTGTTAACAGTTTGCCTATATAAAAACTAAAATTAGTATTCTAAATCGATCTTTAAATATTAATTAAAGTTATAGAACTGATAAAATATGTAATTATAGAATTAATACATTAAATATATAAGTTACAATCATTCAAAACGTTCTGCAAAATTGCATTTTTACAACCTTTTAGATTGTAAAACAGTTGAGGTCTCTTCACAATTGTTAGACCATGTGATCATCTTATTAAGAATCAAAAATTTTCTGAACATCAAAAACAATAAAAGGAATATTCTGCTAAAAAAGGATTTTGACTATAACAAGATGACTGATGATAAGTGGAATCAATTTAGGGATAAGATTGACACCTTAGCAGATGCCTATCCACTAAGATCGTTAAACAACAATGTCTCCTTTAATCAAACAAAATTGAACCTCTTTTGGAATCTACTATAAGAATATATTATCAAAGCAGCAGAAAAATACATTCCATCGCATAAATCAAAAGGGAATCATCAGCTAAAACAACCACTACTTTTATCTACTCTTTATAAGAATTTAAAGTTTATTTACAAATTTAAAAATCTTTCAAAATCACGTGTCGCTCCTTAATAATACCTGATGACTGGCATAACTAAATTAATAATTTCTATGCAACTTTACAAAGTTTTAAAATTCCTTTTGTTGTATTATCTCAAGACCTTCCTCTCTTTTTGATACAATTCTTGTCGTCTAACACTATCATATCTCTTAATTAAAACTAACTGTATGAAAATGACCATAAACTCAAATCTATCTAGCAAGCTTTTGAAAGAAGACTTGAGAACTTTCATGCAATTCCTTCCAAAATGATTGACTCTATATTAAATCACACTAAAAAAACTATCATATTAGATCGATGCATAGACAATTCTTCTATATCATATGATCTCTTGACAGAAGAAAGTGATGTTAAAAAGGACACTTTCAAATAGTGGCAGGTTTAACACATGAGTCTGTTTCTTTAGATAATGAATGAATACCTTCTTATCAACCAATCAATAACATTAATAAGAATACTTATCATGATCTTATGATGACACTTATAGTGGATGAATGGTACGCTATCATAAACCCCTTTCCAATAATAAAGCACCTGAATCATCTAAGGTAAAGATAGGAACTGTAATTAATATGTTGCAACTTTTAATGCTGCAACTTACGTTGCAATTAGTTTTAACCTATATATGTTGCAACTTATAATGTTGCAACTAATTTAGCTTATGTTGCAACATTTTGTAAATTTGAAATCAATTGCTGTACCATCTTTAATCTAAGGTCTCCAATGAAATGCTCAAACACCTTAGTTCTAAAACAAAAAAAACACTATAGTATATCATTTGTGGATGTCTTAATACCTCTTTAATACCTCATAAATAGAATCATGCCTTTATTTATCCAATTTCTAAGCCAAAACCTTGGGAATATAACCTAAATAATACCCGTCCTATTATATTGTTGGAATGTTTACGAAAGGCACTTATTAAACTCCTCAATTGACATTTATCGACTATTGTTATTCAACATAATATTCTCAAGGGTCTCAACTTTGTGGGACTTCCTTTCAAATCTATATTTGAGCTATTACACATTTTAGATAACATGAAATACAATACTAATCACATAAAAAAATCTTTGGATACTCAT